CCCCCCTCATTTTTTCCTTCTTCCACGTCATCCCTTTCGTACCAAATCTCATCATTTCAATCCGATTCATGTGGATTCCTTCTTTTATTTCTTTTGTTTAAATAAAAATCCGATTCCTTGAAATAAATGTTGGAAAATGGGAGCCGTTGGATTAAATTTTGCCAAGACTTCAATTTTCTGATTTTTGTTAAAAATGGGATTTTCGGATCTTGTTGGGGTTCCACACGATTTTGGGAGATTTCTTGTTGAAGAAGGAGAAAAGCTTGGAGAGAGAGCTATATATTTGGAGTTTTCGGACAGTCTTGGGGGGAAGTTTGGAGAAAAATTTTGGAAAAGGGTGAAAAATCAGAAATTGGAGAAAAAGGTTCTAGGGTTCTTTTCAGTTTTGGGAGATTCTTTTGTTTGGTTTTGCATTCCAAAAAAAAAACCAACAAGTTTGAGTTTGATTTTTGTTCAAGTGTTGTTCCATTTTCGAAAATCAGAAAATACCAAAAAAAATATTTTAGTTTCTTCTTTTGGTCATGACGTTCAGAAATGGATTTTAATTGAAATTAGGATTCGAGTTCGTGTTCGATTTGCGATTTGCGGTGTCGAGTTGAGGTTCCAGTTGCTGCTCACGGCTTTAATTGTAGTTGCTGCTCTTTTTTTTGTGTTGCCATTTCACGACGGGATTCTTGGAGTTAAAGCTTCTGTACTTATTGCTTCTTTATTGTTGTTGAGAAAAACCTCGGCTTAACAGGTCCGTCTTTTCCTTCATTGTTTCTTTCTTTGGCATTGATTTGTGCTCGAAAGAGGTATTTGATACTCTGTTTTACTTTGATATAAGTCGTGTTTCTGTTTTGAAGTTAAGTTCGTTGTTGGCTTAGCTCGATCTTTCTAAGTTTCTGAAATTTGCTTGTTCGTGTGATTTATGGATCAGTGATGCGCTTCCTTTGCAAATTTAATTAGTGTCTTGTATGCTGGTTTGAAATCGAGATCGAGGAAGAATGAATACGTGGATTAGTCTTGTTGAAGTCTGCTTGGATAGTTGAACCGATGCATTTAGTTTCATCTTCAAGCTGGTGTCCATGTTTTAAAGATCATGTATCAAAAACCATAGTGAATGATCAAATCTTCCATGAAAAGTGAATTGTTTATCCTAGTGTGGAATGTGAAATGGATTTCTGTTAGTTTTAGACAGCCCTCTGTTTGGCCATAGTCACATCGACTTCAATGCTATTTTCTTGGTAACTGTTAAGCCCTCATTCAATTTTACTCACTTGAGCAATTGTTAATTCTAAACTGTCATTCGAGTTGCCCGCTTGTTTCTGATGATTGGGAAGATCCCTGTTAGTTTCGTAGCCATGTTTCACGCACCGCGTTACTTGTAGGTTTGGAGTTGTCTACATTTACATGTTCAACTGGTCTGTCGCATCTCAATGTGAATCTGCTCAATTTTGTGATAATTTTATTCTGTTCTCATGTTATTCTGATATGTGTCTTTGTTTGTCTTGAGTTGCCTATTTAAAGTCCGACTTCCATGAAATATGAATAGTGCCACTGCTAATTCCCTCATGTTTCTTCAGCTTTAAGCATATGAGTGATGTTCCCTGAACAGATGATTTACTTGCCTCTCTTGAACTTAAGACACAAAGGGTCTGTGCTTTTGAAGTCAAATGAAAAATGATAGAATTCCATAAGTTTTGACTAAGCATATTAATTCATAGTTTCATTCTAGATTACATGGGTTTTAACTTAATAGTTTCATATTCACTTTCTTTCATGTTGAGACCATATGTTAAATCTGTCTGAGTTCCATGGGATGGGTGAGGTAGTTAAATTTTAAGAGACTCTTACTATACTTTGATCCATCACTTTTCTTTGTTCTGCTCATATCCTTGTGTGCTATTAATGCTTTGTTTGAATTGTCCTGAATAATATTGAGCCGTGGGAGTAGGGAATGACCGATCTCATTAGCTATTTAAATTTGCTTCCATATTTTAAGATTGGGCTTGGTCACACGCATGAAATAAGAAGTTAAAAGGAAAATGAGCATGATTTAGAATTTACTTTTACTTAGTTTCTTTATTTATTTTTATTATATTGTCCACTAGGAGCATGTTTAGGCCTATAACATTTGAGTAGGCAAGCCTTAGGATTTTTATTAATTTTGAGGCAAGAGGTCGTTCCCTTAGTTAAATTTATTCGGGGAATGCCCCGAAGGACTTGTATATATTTTATTCCGGGGTATGCCCCGAAGTATTCTGTAAATGGAGGCCAAAAGTAGAAACTTGTAGTATTTTTACTTTATTTTCATTTTTCTTTTTTTATTTAGGTGGGGACGACCTCGAGCCTCTTGTGTGTTTATTTTCCCTTTTCTGTGCTTTCTACCTCAATTGAATATTTTAAAAGCTAACTAGATCGGGTATGCAACCGTGACCTTCACGGGACTTGGGGAGTGCCTAACACCTTCTCCCTGAGTCAAACGAACCCCCTTACCCAAATCTCTGGTGCGGACTTGGTTTTAGAGTCTAAAACATTTTAAAAGAAAAAAATCATTTTAAAAACGATAACCTGGCACACCGAAACAAATGTTAGGTGGCGACTCTGAGTTAATTTTTTTCAACACAAATTTTTGTCGCGTTCTAATTGAAAACTCCTTTTCAAGCTTCAAAAATAACTTTTTTATTAATTTAAGGGGTTTAGTGAAGTTTGGTGAAAAAAGGGGTGTGCCACCTGTTCTGTGCTTTTTATGATGCCAAAAGGGGGAAGATTTAATTGAATAATAAAGAGTATGAATGAGAGCATGAATGAATAACAATCTGAAAACAAAATACAGATTCAGGGGGAACTCATTCAGGGGAACTCACAAAGGTTCAGGTACTGACTAAGGGGGAATGCAGAGCTTCAAGGGGAACTTAAGGTCTTTCTGGTTCACAATCTGGTCCTCTGTGGAACTTTCTGGGATTTTCAATTATAAGTTTGTCATTCAAAAAGGGGAAAATTGATAGGTTACAAGTACTTTGGTTATAAGTACTTTACTTTATGTTTTGATGATCTAACACACTTACTATCCAGAAATAGATAAAGAACCTGTTATACATTTACAAGACCTCAAGATCACAAGGTTTCAGGTTGGGATTTAGCGTGCGTTATGTTTCAACTCTTTAGAGTGGAAAAAACAGCTGAGGGACCAGGTCCCTACCAGTCCCCGAGGAGACTGTACGAAGTCAACTTTCCAGTTGGAAAGTTGCTGCCTGCACACGCTACAGTGCAGGAACAGTGTTGTAGTCAACTTTCCAGGGAAGACTTTTTACCTACCTTGCTTACATTGTTGTAAGTGATGTCACACATGTATATATGCATTCAAGGGAGGTAAAACAACACACTTGAACACTTTGAGATTTTTACTCAAGCTCACTCACGTGGCCATTCAGCAAGAAGGTTTCAAGTGCTTCAAGAATAAAGAACAAAGCAACTATGGACCAGTTCCCATATTGATTTATTGTATGTTCTTAGTTGAGTTGTGACTTTATAATAGTTCTTCAAATTGTAATTCCTATCTAACTTATTTAGAAGCATTTTATAGGAACACCTTTGTAAACCTTAAACCAATGTGTTTGAGTCTTGACTAGAGTTAGTCATGTTGTAAAGTCTTTGTAACAGAGTTTATCACAAAGTGGCTTGTAATAGAGTATTACAAGTTAGTGAGGGATTAAGAGTTTAATTCCTAGGTTGCATAGGTTGTAATCTGAAAGTTGCTCAGTAGTGAAGTTGAAATCCTACAAGGGTAGGTCGTGGTTTTTAATCTTGTTGGGCTAGGAATTTTCCACGTAAAATTCCTCTTGTCATTTATTTGATGTTGTGTATGTGTACTGTCGAACCTGATAGAGAACCTGGTTCTCTATAGAGTTTGGTGGACCCTTACATTCTATCAGATTGGTTTTTACACTATTTGAATAGTTTTGGATTGTTCGGCTCCGGTTTGAGGGTTTGAGCGCATTCTTGAGTTAGAAGTAGGCTTGAGGCGAGATAAGTCTCTTTTCTAACTTTGTAAGAGGGAAATTTTCACATAGGTGAACTTAATTAATATGTGATTATTTGTGGGGGGCTACTTACGCACGAAGTGACGAGAGTCCTTACGTAACTACTATTCATGTTATGTCCGGGTAGTTTTAGGTTTACACCATGCTTTGTGGACACCGTTATTTAATTATACATGCTAATTGTAACAAAAGGAATTAAGTTGAGGATTACTAAGGATTTAAAAGCTTCAAATTGAATTGTCTTCATTTTTTAAAAGAATCGAGAAAGGATTATGATTTAAATAATAAAATTATATTTGACCGCGTCGCACGTATGATTCGCAAGTGGGGTAACTCCTTAAATTTATGTTTGATCGCGTCGCATGTATGATTCACGAGCGGGGTGAATAGATGCATCTATGGTTAGCGTTGTTCGACCCTCGGCAGTGCACAGTTTACATTTATATTGGATCGGGCCGAACGTCCTCGGTGGTATTTATGTGTGATAATAGAACCGAAGCTCTTTATAATTTGTTGCTTGAAAGGTCACCTGTTTTAAATGAAGAAAGTGCATTGGATTGTTAAATATGATGGAAGGATTTTCTAGTTATTATTCTTGTTCTGAGCTTATTGTTATCTACATGCATTATGATTTAAATTTGGAACTTCACATTATTATATTGTTGGCCCTAGTAAGTGTCGAAGTCGACCCCTCGTCACTACTTCTTCGAGATTAGATGAGATACTTACTGGGTACATATTTTTATGTACTCACGCTACACTTTTGTACTTGATTGTACAGGATTTGAGGCAGGTGCATCTGGTCATCATTCTGGCGCGTACATCGGATTCCCTTTTCGAGACTTCATGGTGAGCTGCCTTCTGAGTCGTCCTGCAATAGCTGGAGTCTTCTTTATATTATATTTTCTGTCTATTTCCTTTCAGACAATAGACTAGTATTCTTTTGTATAATCTACTAGATGCACACATGCTTGTGATACCAGATCTTGGCAAACGCGCTAGTAGACTTATGATTTTGGATTTGTTTACGTGATTTCGATTTTTACTTAATTGCTCCCGCTTAAATTGTGCTTCATTTGCAAACCTCTAAACCTTTGAATAAATGAGAAAATAACATTCACTTAGTAATTTATTTAAAATGAAAAACCACTAGATTGATTAATGTTGACTTGCCTAACAACGGTGTTGGGCGCCATCATGACCTGGAATGGAAATTGGATCGTGACACTAAGTTTTGCTATAGGGATGGGGAGCTGCGAACGGGCGAACCACATTGCGTCTCATTCATGCAGTCTTACTTTATATTCTGTAAGAGGTTGTGTTCACGGCTTACCCCTATGACGGTCTATGACCTACAAATTGACTTGCATGCAAGCTATATTTCTTGTCTCAGGCAGCTGTTTTTTTAAACCCTTAGGTGCAGGGAATGTAATTAGCTAACCCCAAAATGAGATGAAAAAAAATTATACATAGCTAAACGTTAACTTTGAATTTAAGGAATTTTAGATGAACTACAGTGTCGACACGTGGACGTTGTCATATCATAATCTTGACCATATTATTACATTGTACATGATTAATATGCACTTATAGCTTAATCAAATTCAAAGAAGATGGACATTATTAGTAGCAATCGTGTGTTCTATTCTTGTCGAGATAACGTGTCGATGTTCTTATTAATTTTGTACGAGGATATATGTCTAATCCTTAGATTCTTTTAAATATGATTTGCTCAAGATTTGAACTCCACCATTAAACCAAGAAACAAGATGTTTTTAGTCTCTAATTAACTTTTTCTATATGAAAATGATGTTTTTAGTTGGGGTGGCATGAATCTTTCCGACCTTTAATCAGGGATCTCAGATTCGAGCATATAAAATGTAAAAAGATTCTGGTAAAGAGTGCATTTTCGGTCTTTAAAGGGTCTTATACGGTACAAATTCAGATTAATCGAGGTTTTAATGCGAATATTAAATGCTTTTAATATTGTTTTTAAAGAGTAAAATAATTAGGATTTTTTTCTTTTTCAGCCGACACGTGAGGTATTATGCTTCACAAAAATTGAAAAAGAAGACTAACTTATATAGTAATAGACACAAGTGGAGGAATATAAGAAAGAGGGAGTAGGTAAAAGGTTGGCCAGGTGACAAACAGGAATTTGAATAAGAAAAAATAATTTTAAAAAGATTTTTTGTGTTTTATTTATCGACTTTTTATGTTTATTTCTTGTTTTTATATTTATATTTTATCAATTTTATGTGAAAATGGTCATATCACTCATATAACGAAAAGAACATTTGTAATGACAATTTTAGTTCGGAATAAGGATATATATCCCATATCTTATATGGCATAGATAATATTAATATTTCATAAAATTTATCTCAATTTTAGTTAATACCAATAACTAAATATAAAATAAAAATAACCTTAAATTTTATAACGAAATTAATATCCTAAATTCGACAAAGAAATGATACCTTAAAAGTTTCTTCCAGTGTCTCGTCTAGTGGCGGCAAAATGAATAAAAAAATAGTTTAAAATTCATATTTTCTACTAAAAAGAGCTGGCTAATGAAAATTTTAAAAACGGGTCATATATGAATAAACTTTATATTATCCACTTAAAATGGATACTCAATGTGTTTAACTTTTACATTTACAAAGACTTATATAAATTAGAGGTTACTCAAATTTGGAAGACTATAAATTCTCCCAAAAGTAATCATATTCAAGAAGTCATGGATAATGTGGATATTTATATTTTCTGTCGGGTAACTCTTTTTTATCGGTATTAATAATTGTCGGGTCGAATATTTTCTTTACTTTTATATTATTTATTTTTTACCCGCGTATATCCGATCTGACCCGCTATTTTGCCACTCCTATTCTCGTTGGACAACCTTTTTTGAGTTGATTCATTGAAATCATTAAAAAAAGAAAAGAATATCTCTCTTGTTGGACCATTTTCTTCTCTGTCTCTTTCAGAATCTGATATTATAGTACTAATAATATTGAGTAGCCGAAATTCTTTAGTCGTTGAAAATATTAAAGAAAGTTTGACTACTTTTTAACAACATATTCATGGCCGACTTAAACATCCCTTTCATTAGCACTATATTTCGGATCCATTTTCTAATTTTTCTTCTTTCATTTTAGGAGGTAAAACGCTCCCTATCAGAGACGATGATTTTTTATTTAAAGAACTGAATTCGAGCTTTCGAAATTAAAAATACGAAAAATATCATTTCACTATAATCTTTAATAGCATAGTATGGGATAGCAACCCACTATTTGTGTGTTTTTTCATAATTTTGATGTAGTTTGGTTATCAAAATAAGGATAATAATTGTTCCGATATTAAATTTGAAATTATAGTTATTTATATTTGATTATGGGTATTACTTAATATCGGTAAAAACTTTATATCAAAATATTGGTATTAGATATCTCATATATGTGGTGGGACCCCGACAAGTGTGAGTTTGAGTCTCCCCAAGAGCAAGGTGGGAAGTTCTTGGAGGGAAGGATGTCGGGGGTCTATTTGGAAACAGTCTCTCTACCCTAGGGTAGGGGTAAGGTCTGCGTACACACTACCCTCCCCAGATCCCACTAAGTGGGATTATACTATTTTGTGAGCAAATTAAAAATTATATGAGTAAACTTAGATCTAAGTCTAACATTGTCCAAAAAGAGTAATTTTACAAGAACTATATTTGCTTAACCTTTAAAATAGGAACGGATTTAATTAGTGTCCTAAAAAGAATATTTGCATAATCAGCCCATATATATGTAAGAAACATTGGTCGGGCCATGTACACTTTAATTTCAATTAGATCCACATTTTTATGCAGAAGAATTAACCTAAATAGCCCAACTCAACTGCTTAAACTAAAAATAGTCAAATATATAATATGTATTATTTATGTATAATATATGTATAATCAAGTACAATCAGTGAATATCAGATTGAAAAAGTAACGGGAAAATAACACTGTATAGCCGCTCTCAAAATGATAGCCGAAAAAATATATTTTACACACACACACACACTATGTATGGTTATATACAGAAATTATACAAATGTTATACACTTTTCCGGTTATCAAAAGTAAATAGCTTCTGGCGGAGGCTAAAAGTGAAAAAAGCCCAAAGTAAACAGAAAAGTGGACTGGCTATTTATGTAAGATCCCTTTATGCACATGTATATATAGTCCAATGAAATTGTGGGCTCGCCCACTCAATAAAGGCCCAACTCTTCTTTCCCGAAAGGCCCAATTCTTTAGTTACTTAAATTATTGCAGTTTTAGATGATTTCCTCCCTCCCTCCCACAAACTTCAAACATCCATTAAATTTAACATGGGATATTATTATATTTAATATTTCAATTAACACAATAAATTCTTCAAATTTTCAAATTAAATACACTAACCAAAAATATCTGAGATATCAAGTGATAGGAAATTATAGGGACTTACTTCTTTACTACTGTTTGTCCAGAGATCAAATTTTA